GGCTAAATCAAAATTTAATAAAGACGAGCGAAATGTGCACTCACTGAAGCGGAGGAAAAATAGGAGGGCCGGATGTCGCCAGTAGTGGCAGGACCAAGGAATTTTAATAATGATCACGTATCCTGGCAGCAATTCCAACTTGTTGTTTTAGTGCACGTGCGCCAATTGCCAACACTAAAGGGATTCATTTGTGAATTATCCAATGCCAAAAAATCTAGCTCCCTTGCCCAGGACCATTGCCATCATCGTCGTCAAACCCCACATCCACATCCAAACCCACACCCACACCCACGGGCCTAAACAAACACTGAGCCGAGGTCGAAGGCTGGGAATCAACGAAAACAAATTGCAATTGAGCCGGCAAAGGATGGGTGACAAAAAGTGGCCACCACGTTGCAGGATGAGGATTGGTTTGGGACTCGGATTCAGGAGGGATACAGTCGCGATGCGCATTTGACAGCTCAAGCGGAATGCACACAGACGATGGCGATGAGGATGAAAGGCGCAGATGGGTCCGGGGATACGCCCAAAGCCAAGGCAACAAGCCGCTACATGGCTATAGAGCTCTGTGGATAAAGGATATGCTGGGTTGGCTGGGCTGGTTGGCTGCTGGGAAAAGTGTCCCGGAGGTGATGAAGGCCACCCCCATTTGGCTCGTTGAAAATGCCTTGGATTCCCATGAATTTCAACGGAATTTTTATTAAGTTGCCAATTTGGCAATTGACAGAGTTGATCAAAGTGGCTGGGCAATTGCGGGGGTGTTTGAATATTTCCCTTGATTTCTGTGTGAATTAATTTCAAATTAGTTTGCCACATGCATTTCGGGATTTATTGGATTTTCGCAGACGCACACACAAATACGAGTGCAGAGGGGGAAACACAAAGAGGGGCATGAATGGGAAGGGTTAGCCACAATCCCTTAATAGGCCTAATCATCACAATCGATGACCGGTGATTTGTTTAGCGCATTAGCAGCTCCAGTGTTGACCACTGTCCAGCTGCCACAAACTCATCTGCCACTTGGCTGCTCTTCCGTACCCCAACTCCTGCACCTATTCAATGGTTGGAAAAATCAGGTCAGGCGAACGCATATAAACACACCATTCCGATTTAGATTGTGATTTCTGGAATGCATTAATTTGTGTTAATGGGGAAGAGAAAAGATTTCCCGTTTGTTAGGGTTTGGAGTGCAGGCGGAGGTTATTTTTAGGGGCCCACAATAGATACACACAGATGGGGAACTAGAGATTGCCTGGAGATGTGGAATTTTCCACCGGCACTGGGCGAATCCTATCGTATTTCAGCCAAAACATTTTCCCTTAAACCATCCCCACCCACAACTTAATATTTAGTCATTCACGTGCTGCCTGCAATCGGTCAAAAACGGAGGCAGACAAGTGCCAGTTCGTATATGCAAGACCCAAATATTTTATGCCAATTCCGAATATATCTCTGTGTCCACTGGCCAGACCGAAATACTTTCGGATATGCGCTCCATCGAGTATTGTTAACCGAAATCTATAGGTCGCTCGGTTATATATCTGCCTAGTCTCTGTCTGCCGCACTGTACGCCTCCAGGGCGAACAGAAATATTCAAGAACAGAGCGTGGAGGCTAAGATAAAGCGGATTCAACGGCAGTTCACGTATATTTTCTGCTTTACAATGTCTATATGAGATTTGGGTGGACCAAAGATTTCTTTGGAAGATTGCACTTTAGCAGATAAGCTTGATATTTAAGTCTTAAATCTCAAATCGAATCTTAAATAAAGTTCTCTCTGTTAACCAATCATCTAATAACACCTAAAATTTCAAGTTTCTATTAGCAAAAACTCTTTATCTGGAAACTTTAAAAATTAACTGAAGGACAGGGGAATTTCTGATTTAATGTTATGTTGAATCTTTTAACGTCAAAGATTAAACCTTGAGATGCCAAGTCCCATCTATGGGTCTTCTGTTTAGCTTGCAGATTTTCAGATATCTTGGGGTCACCCAAATCGATTGCATATATCGCCGGCTATTACCTATACGAGTATGTGAGGGAGGAGAGCAACAACAACCAAAAGTGACGCGGACATTTATGGTGTGCGCTAAAACTGATTTCTGTTCGGTTTGCAACACACCAGCAACAGCACCAACACCAACATATTGAAATAGCAATCGGCACACCCGCACACTAGGACATCGAGAGAAACAGCAGCAACAACAACAATCATAATCGGGGGAATATGTTGTTCAATAATTTCAGTTCTGGCCGCTGGTTTCATTTCGATTTATTTTTAACGTTGTTTTTTTATATATACACGAAATAGAAGCAGCAAGCGCATAGGAAAAACAACAATATATACGTATATATTGAAAAATGTAGAAAATTAGAGGATGGAAAAGAGCAAAAGAAAAATAGCGCCAACGCTTTCATCATCGACCAAACGGGCGCGATCAGCTGTATGTCGTCAATATGCGATATATCTCTGGGTGGATCGAAGATATATCTGGGAGTAAGTGTGTGTGGGTGTGAGATGTGTTTTTAATTAAATTACAATAGTGATATAGACATGCGGATACAGAGAAATTGGAAGAAATATCTCAGTTTTTTCCTTATATTTGCTTGCCCCATGGCCATTCAGCTTCCGCTCGGACCACTCATGGCCATGGGAAAGCATCTTCATTAGCACCACGATCGTCATGATCAGCATGATCCATCTATGTGGTATCCACTCGGACTTGGACTCGGTGGTTTTTGACAAATCCTATTTATAGATCTCCCCTCTCTATGCTACTGCTTCTGTGCCGGTTGCTGTGGAACACTTGTCGCTTGTCGGCTCCAAAAACAGCCCCGAAACCCTCGCAAAATCATTTGGGAATTTTAATTCGACTTCTTCAGCAGCGTCACAAGCAAAGTGCCTGTGTGCATGCACTCTTTATTCAAGTTCAATTCGGTTGGACTTTGTCTTGCACTTGGCGTGCATCACAGTTTTATTTCATTTGTAAAGTATTTTTGGTTCGTCACATCTTATTCTTGAGGAGCAAGGCGGCACACATGTGATTCCACTGCCGGCATTTATGCCATATATGGCGAGTACTTGGCACCTACTCGCCCCAGCAATTGGGTATTTTCGGTATTCCTCCGCCCATCTAGATGATTCATTCGCCGCCCGATCTCTATCTTTGGCTTTTCTCCCCATCGGAAATTCTTTGGCCATCTCTCAGTGTGGCTATCACTCAATCAATGAGTGATCTATAAATGTATATTAGTTTTATGCTGATGTTGGGGGTGGCAGTGAAAGTGCATTGCCCGGAATGCAGCTTGCAACTTTGTCGATTTCCAAGTTCAAAGAAGAACTCTATAGATTATGTATAATTTTATTAAATTTTAATTTTTCAATAATTTAGTAATTAATATTTATATAAATTCTTAAAGTATTTTTCAATTTAAAATTACCGGTAATGAAACTTGCTTAGTGGCGACACCTATATGGCTTGAATGGTAATAAGATATTCAGCCAAGGGCAGACGCCACTTAATTTTCAAATGTAAAATTGGCAGTAGTCTTGCTCTTTAAAACCAGTAAATATAGTTTTTAATCCTAGGAAACATGAAAATCCAGATATGAGTAATGCTTTATGTTTTACGGCTATATATCATTTTGAAAATAGTTTATAAAGCCTAAAAATGTTTTGACAAGAACAGCCAGGACGCAGACCTTAACTGAAGTATCGTTACTGTCCGGATAGGTGGCGTACTACGTTAGCAAAGACTTATACCGATAGTTTTGTGAAGGTGTACTAAATTTATCGGTCTATCTGTTCTAAGCTTCCTTGTTAATATTTAAACAAATTTTCATTAAGTAAAAATACATTAAAAAAGTATACATAAGTAAAACATTATGAAAATTATAAATACATTTTATTTATTTTAAGCAAAGAAAAAACTTTTTTAAGTTATGTTTTGATAATTACGCTAATAGTATTTCGAAATATTTGATCATTTTGAGATTTTACTTACTATTAATATCCATTGTTAAACAAATAACCAATATTAGTACGTAGTAAAATGTTGGATGACGCTCCCTTACCCATATTTCACATAATTTTCATTTCAATTTCTTCCGTTCAGTAATTTAAATAGTAACAATAGTCATAGGTACATCTGTGTTTTTGTAAAATCATTTTTATTTAATTGCATGACATGCTTTGAGTTAATGAAAAAAACCTTGTATCGCCGATTGCCATTAAACTGGAGCTGGCCCTAAACGCTCAACCACTACTAAGTGGACACCATTTCCATTTCCCTCGACAATTCCACTGTAAACGCAGAGTTTTATTCCCATGTTCGGAGCTTCATATGCATATGGGTGAGATTTTCCGGCTAGATGTTGTGCGTGTGATAAGCGGCCTGATGTAATTGCAGGCAATTATCATTGCGCCGAGGTCCTTTGAGCAAATTGTGACGCTCATATGGGATATGGGTTTCTTTCCATATAGTTTTCGTAGTCACAAGTCCTGTAACTCGAATTCAGGCGCCCTGGCGTGGGCAACATGCTTGCATTTTAATTGCCCGCGGCGTTAATCAATTATAATTTTATTCGTTTCTCTATTAGATTCGACTGCGGCTACTGCACCTGTTTCACCTGGTTGTCCCCCCACCTCGTGTGAGTCCTTTGTTTGCACTGCATTTAGTCCTTTTTAATTGCATTTAATTACTGCTTGTCAGCATTTTCTGCTCAATGTCTCCCGATTTTCTTATTAATCAAGTCATTAAGTAGCCTTGAACAGGCGATTAGTGGGCCAGATAGCTACTCATAATTGGCCCGACAAGTTGAGTTATTGATTACCTGCCTGATTGGCCCCCTGCTAATTTACCCACTCCAAGGAAATTACGGAAATCGTGTAACTACTTTTATTAAATCATTGTTTCTAGAAATCTTTTGATGTTAATAACTAATATTAGAAGGAAGATATATGGTTTTCTATATATCCCACCCAAAAAAACACACTTTTCTTGAGCTAAAACTTGTCATATTTATTTTGTGCTAGTATGCATTAGGAATAGACTTCTTCATCAGCCGCTTTTCATCGAAGTAGTTGAAATTTTACAAATACAATTTGCACATTTTTTGAGTTAACCATATAAGAAACTGCGTCAGAAATAAGTCCTTACAACACGAAATTCACTAAACTTAGAACACACCTAGAGAATGATATGGGGGAATGGGTCTGGTGGAGCTGCACCTAGTTAGGAACCATCTACGGCTAGACAATGGACACCATGCCCTTGTTCAGGTTGTCCAGGTGCTCCTTGGCCTTGATCCTCAGCGTGGCGATCGAGTTGCTACGCATGTCCGCCGGCGGCGTGGCGGAACTCTTCCCTGCCGGAGTGGGCGGAGGTGGTGGGCTGTCCCGGCCCACGTCGAGCAGCTCGATATTGGCGCTGGCCGCACACTTGTCCAGGCTGCTTCCGTGATTGCTGCTAGTACTTCCTGCATCCAGGTCGCTGCTCAGGTCACGCCCATCCCCATTGGAATCGGCATTTCCAATGCTCAGGTTCTGAGGCGACATGCAGACATCCGGACCGCTGCACTCCAGAGAAGCGGAGGAGGAGGACGACTGCGAGGATGAGACGGCAGCGGCGGCGATGGTCGTCGATGATGAACTGGGCGGCAGGCTGCTGTGCAAGGGTGTGCCGAGGGGAGTCACTCCGTGGTGGGGCGAGCCCAAGGACGTCGCATGCGGTGACATGCGTGACAGGTGCGGCGAGAGGTGAGAAAGGGGTACCACATGGTGTCCGGCATGAGGATGGGGGACGCCGTGTGGTGGCGGTGGTGGCGGTGGCTGCGGCTGACCATGACCGCCGTGTCCCACGTGAGGGGGCGGAGGTCCGTTGTGGGCATGATGATGGCCCATGGCCGCCAGGCTGCTCATGGTCAGGTTGGCGGGCGCCAGGCTCAGCGGTGGCGTCAGATAGCTGGGGTACACCGTCTGCGGATGCGACAGAAAGCCTAAGGGTAGAAAAAAGTCGAGGATGAGTTTTAGAAAAATTAATTATTTTCTTCCGAAATTGTGATTTCGATTTAAATTACTTCAGTAATTAAAAGTAAAAATTTGGGGTGAAATCTTTTGGAGATTAAAGCATGTATCTTACCTGGTAGAGCACTTAGCAGTGGTGGCGACAGCCAGGGATCCACTGGCAGGCCGGAGGCACCGCATCCCAAGCGATGCGGCAGCTGGGTGAAATGGGTCAGGCCCAGGCGAAGACTCTCCGATTTCTCCTGACGACGCCACTTGGCGCGGCGATTCTGGAACCACACCTGAAAAACGGAAGCCAAAAGAGATGGGTTAGCTAATTGGGTTGCTAGTTGGAGCAATTAAATTAATCGCTTGACAAGAAAAGCGCTAATTTAATGGGGCGTTAAACAGCAACAACAACAAAGCGGAAGACATTTTCATTTCGAAGAAGAGCACAGAGCATAATTAGAAAACGGAAACGGAAGGCAAAGGTTGGATGGGAGGGGGGAGAAAGCCAAAGAGCTCCACGAAGAGAGCAGGAGCTCCGAAAGAGAGAAAGACAAAAAGCAAAATGGCGGCCAACGCAAAATTGTTAATGAAAACACACACACACACACCTATAAAGAGATGCCAAAAGAGATATCCACCCATGAACACACACACATAGACGGGCAAACAAAATGGCTGAGCAGCAGCCACACGCACACATACACCCACACAGCCAAAGCAACGAAGGAAATAAAATAAAATTCAATTAGTTGCCTTGGCTCTAATTAGAATTATCGCAACAATGAGTGTGTATTAGTGTGGCTGTCTAATTAGTGGCGGGGCATTGAGAGAGCGAGACAGAATGAGACGTTAAAAGAGAGAGAGAGAGAGAGAGAGGGGGATAGAAGCCATCTAGGGAAAGTTTTCATTGCCCCCAGCTTGGCTATTACCGCCCCCTCTGCTCCACTTGCCCACTTTCTGCTGCTGCCACGCTCAAAGTAATTAAATGCAATTTGCGCAAATTAATAAGAAATTATTTCTGATGGAAATTTCATTACCATCAAATAATGTTGTTGTCGTTGCTGCTTTTGGTTGCCGCTGCTGCCACAAGGACATAAACAACCATCTATAAGTATGCGTATATGTATGTGTGAGTGAGTGAGTGCGCCTGTGTTTGCGTGCTCTGGTTTCAGCCGCTCTGCGGCTCTTTAATTAAAGATAATGGTGCGTAAAATTATTTTCGTTGCCCCGAAAGTGATTTGCAAAACAAATTTGCCAGTCGGAAAATGCAATTTGAAATGGTTTAATTTAAAATACACTCAGCAGCATGAGGAGAAAACTGAAGAACAGATTATGACAATCAAGATGGGACAAGAATAAAAACCTTATTAATGGCTTTTTTATTCATTAAGGCAAATAGGTTTACTCCTAGGTTCTCTTCTTTAAAAACACATTTATTTAGATGTGTTATAAAATCAGAATTTAAGGAAAATAATATCAGAAAACTATCATGATAATATTATTTTTAAATATTAGCCATTTAAGCTAGAAAACCTTAAATGATTTTTAAATAAGTTGTTCAAAAATTCTGTTCTTAACTTTCCTTGAAAATACTTTTCTATTTATATCCATCGAAAACTCATTTCATGCTAATCAAAAGCCAATCAAATCCGTTCCAATTAGAGTCGTTCCTTGATTATCTTTGAATATCTGTCGGATATCAATTAGCAGAGCAGACAGGCAACAATAACAAAATGGCTCATGCCGCTGGCTCCACTTCCCTACCTTCCCCTTCCCCTCCACCCACCACCATTGCCATTCTCCTACTCAAGCAAATTGAAATCCCATTTAGAAAGTCTAATTTCCTGTCTCTCAAATCTGTACGAAGAAAATAAATTAAAGTTAGCAGCTTTAGGCCACATTCAGCTCCTCACACTCAACCTAACACATACACACTTACGCACACACACATACTCAATCAGAGAGGGAAAAAGCGAGCGTTGAGAGGTAGAGAGAAAGGCAGGGTCTTTGGCTGGCTGTTATAATTTGAGTTTGTGCTTCTTCATTTTAATTAAATCATCAAAATCAATTTTGTAATTTCCATTCATGGCGCGCCATAATGAAAATCCCCTATACAAGCCCCAAAAAGAGAGGAAGAGAGATGGAGACAGCAAGAGAAAGCTCTTTCTCTCTCATAGTCAGCTGGCGGGTGGCACGCCCACAAACATCATAATGACCTTTAACCAGCACCACGCTCATCCACCCAAAAGTTGGCAAAATTGTCTGCTTTCATCTTTGGTTGTTGATGCTGCCACCACTTACCACCCACCACCCTCCACACACCACCCCCAACCCCTCTTTTCGTCATGACATGGACCAAACTCAATTTTCCACCCCATAGACACAAATACAAACAGGCGGGTACACACACACACACACACACAGGCATCCCCATTTTCAGCCATTTTCAATTTTGCTACATTTAGCCGGTTGTGTCCTCAAACAGCACCCAACAACCCACAGAACCCCCTCCCCCCCCCCAATTGCTGCAGGCCTGCAGCAATTTGGCATTCATGTGGAGCACGCGACTCACCACAAGTACACCCTCCGCCACCCACACCCGCACCCATCAGGCAACCACTTTTCAACTTTAATCTTTTTCATAAACTTCACATTGGCAGCAAACAATTTGTGACCACCCCCAAGCACCACCCAAAAAAACCCCCCAAACATCATCATCTTGCTCTTCCTCTGGCTATGTCATTCTACCATTTTCCTTGTCGTCTTCTTTAATTTTGTTCGCAGCAAAGTTTTGCCGTTTTATTGGAAAACTTCTGCCGCAAAGTGTCGTTCCACCCAAAAAAGGGAAAAAAGAAGAAAAAAGCTGGGAATAACCCCACATAGATGTTGAAGTAACTCACACAGCATACAAGGCGTATACGCAATGTGCGCTCTATACCTCACTCGCTCTCTCGCCTAAATACGGCCCTCTCTTTCATTCGCTGTGTGGCAGAAATTGCTTTTCGAATGTTTCTGACAGTTTGCAAATTGGAAAATTGACTTTTAACACACAAGAGCTTCAGCAGCTTAATAAAACTGTTTGCAACTTGTAGAGAAAGAGAAGGAGAGAAAGAGAGAGAGAGAGAGATAGAGAGAGAGAGATGGTGGGTAAAGAAGAGTGAGGGGAAAGGCAGGGGTTGGGTGGCTCAATTGTTGCAGTTCGACTTGATATTACACAGAAAGAGCTTGTTGTTGGATTATTCATACTTCCGTTTTTGGTAGGTTGTTCGGTCTTGCGGCGAAGGATACTGGGACAAATTATTTCTCAAAACCTTGGCCCGGAGTTGACCAAGAGCACACATATGGAAGTTAGATAGACCACATGCCAGGCTTATACGTTGCCTATTAGGGGAGAACCCTGCTCAAGGAGCATAACAAATATAGGTTTGTGATTGGGCTTATTTAAGATCTAAAGAAACGCCTCGAACTACCTTAGTTTATAAGCAATTAATTTATCGGATAGAATATTTGGTTAAAGTTATTAATACACCCGGAAAATACTATTTTGCTTATCCAGCACATCCCTTTGCTACTTCATTGACTCAAATATATGTAAAAATTCAAGATTTCTCTTTTAAAAGAAGAGGGAGGAGAATGTATTTCATTTTATGATATTTGATATGCCACAAAAGTAAATTTGTTACTGAAAAAGCAAGCAAAATTCTCAGAAGCATGCTTGTTAGCAGGCTGACTTGGCCATGTAAAAAGTAAAACCTTTTGATATCTTTCATCTCTCCCACTGGGGGGCACTGGGAATCAGCTCGTGCGATCTACTTAAAACTCACTGCTAACCTATGGCATAATGATTATGCCTGCAACAGGACTATAATTATCCCTGCGCCGCCCGTTTGTCATGCAATTCAATCAAATTGATTGAAAACTCGATGCCATCGAATGCACTTTGTTTGAGCTGGTTCTCGTTTGCGATAGGCAAACTAATTGCATGGAAGCGAAAAAATATTACCCAGCATGTCCTGCAATTAGAGAACCGACCCTCGGGGGCAATGGATCGAAAGTCGGGCCGGGACAACCCGTTGCGTTCAAGGATATTGATAGCGGCGCCTAAGGTAATAACCCGAATGCAAACTGCATGGGAACTCCGGCCGCTCCTCGCGCAAGCTTTAATTCAATTAAAAAATCCTCAAATCCTGCCAGGGGGAGCCTAATTATAGGGCTGTCCCGGTTCCAGACCGAGACAGACACGAAGCATTCATCAGTCCGTTTCAATTCTTTCTGGGCCTGTCATAATTCCAGTCTGATTTTGGAGGGACAAAGCCGCAGCGTGGAGTCCTTGCCCTGCTAGTTTATGACATGTTTTTTATTCCATTGTTGGCTTTTAGTTCCGGCCCAGGACCCTCTCAACCGAACCCAACCCAGGCCAGAAGCTTCGGCATCCTGTTTCGGTTTCGCTTTGTGCGATTCAGGACAAATTAGAGCAAAGACAAAAGCCTTGACGACGGCCACAATCCGCAAGATGTTTTAATTAGTTTAGGAGCCGACAAGCATATTGATTTACACTCGATGCCGACGTTTGGGTTTTCAGTGAAATGGATGGGAAGGGTAAAGAGTTTAAGCAGCTTTCTTATATTTCTGTCCGAAACTTGCTTCTATAGAAAAGAAAAGTATATTTTTAAACCAAGTTAACTAAGTTATAGTAGATATAGTAACATTACTTCCTTCCAAGATCTGTAGCAAATGGATTTGACTCCCACATTTTTTGCTCCGGCTTTTCAGCTTTTCACACCACCCCTCTTCTCTGCTAATTGTAGTCTTACTTTTCCAACGAAAGTCCTGTAATCGAAGGCCAAGCACGCGACAAATCTTGATTCCCTGACAGCCACAGACTCGGCCAGTGACTCCGCCTCAAATTTCGCCATGAGAAAAGTCGAGGAAAGGGCAAGTTTGAGGAAAGCGAACTGCCAATCCGACACCCACTCGATCAAGGCTCGGGTTTCCTTGGGATTTCAATTGTTCTATGCAGAACTGACTTTGTCCAGGAAAAGTAGCTGGAGCTGAACCTGAGGCTAGAGCAGGGGAGGATTGTTTGCCGGGGCGTGTTTGCGCCCAGCCACGTGGCACCCTGTATTTAATTAGCTATTTATTTACTCGCTGACATGCCGGGCAGCATTCCGAGCGAAAGAAACGAGCGCACGCACAGTTAATAAGCAGTTAAATCGGCTACAAAGGACGACAAATACCGGGCTCCTTTCGGGGTTGCTTAGCTCAACTGTCACACACGGGGTGCGGGGTATTT